TCACGGGGGGGACCCCTGGACATGAAAGGGAGGGGAGCGTTTGGCTCACCACCGTCACCACCATTCGGCACAATCTAGCAGTCCAAACGGTAAATCCTTGTCCATTTTCTGTTTGAATGCAGAAGGGAGAAGATGAGATGAGATGAGTTAAGTTGGTTGAATCGAGTCGAGCTGAGTTACAGATGAAAACGGCAGCACGAATTGCCGGCGGTAATTGTAGCCAAGACCTACCACTCTGTGCCACTCTGTGGGTTGCAAATAACCAATTCAGGCCTTTACCGGGGAACTTGATTGGACGGGTCAGCTAGGATCGGAAAGATCGAACAGCAATGGAAGGCTTCTCTGCAAGGCACAGATGGTGATAATAACAAGGACCCTTACGGTATACGTGCCGCGCTATAGGGGACTCTGAGGCAAATTGCATTCGTAAATCGAGCCTCCAGCAGTTGAACTGACCTCAGACTCAGCTCCATACAACACCGCTAGTCATTCTCTGGAAAGGCGTGCCCAATCCCGTGAGCTTTTGGGGGAAAAGCCATGACTCTCTTTTGACTTTTTGACTTTGTATTGAGCAAATGATGGCGGGGGTGTTAGCCGGGTTTGGCTCTAGCTGGCCACTATTTGCAGGTGGTGTTTATGCTTTAGCTGACACTGGACTTCTGTGAATGGGTGAATTGGACGGAGAAGAAGTACAGATTCGAGGGTGATTTGCAGTTTTGTTTGTACGTATTCGCGCCACCAGACGCTGTAAGGATAGAATACGATATTACCTGACAAGCCATTCTCTCTCTTTTGCTCTGATATTTTTGTGATACTAATCATTATTATTACGATTCTCTCGTGCCAAGTCAACCCCTGTTGTCGACGCACTCCTCAGTTCATGCTCTCCTTCACCTGACAAGACGGACAAGACGGACAGTGGAGGCTCAATCAAAGTCGCTTAGATCTCTCTCATTTGCCCTCTCGCGTGCTGGTGGAGAGTCTTGCCAGGTTGTGATCGCTCGCTCGGGCGGGATTTAAGCAGATTGCGACCGGGGATTCAATTGAAGAGAGACACTGACAGAGTGAAAGTCTTCAGGCTCTTCTTCTTGATCTTCATCTCACACCCTCTCCCCTTCTTAGCGCACGCCTCCTCAACTCTTACACCCCCGTAACTAGCTAACTCATACCCATGTCAAGCCAGATCCAAGTCTGCTGAACCCACCTGGACTTTCACCGTCCGTCCCTATTCATCTCGACATCTGCTTCTTATTCCTCTGATCCCCCTCCAACTCGTTTCCCCCTCCTATACTTGTATTCAATATCGTTAACGGTCGTTCGTTCCATCTAGCGGGAACTCTTTGAGGGGAAGATTCGCAGTAAAGCGAGATTGATATCGCACGGCAGATCGAATATACCATAACGAATCCCTGGCTCGATATGGCACGCCAATAAGACTAGTCTGGAAAACACCAAAAGACGAGGCGACTTCTTAATATTATCTAGCAGCGTCCCATCGGCAAATCGCTTGCGATCGACGACTAATATTTTCCGGGATTGCTATCTACCGCGATAATATTTAGAACCCACGAGCCGCCTCCTTGGCAGCAGATTATCAAACCTCCAGTGAACTCTCCAAACGACACCGCTCTTCTCCCACATGTTGGGCGAAAGACAGTTGACCTTGCGCTGACGAGAGAATCCCCACGGGGGGATAATATTCAATCTGGCGACGGAAGACAGGATATAACCGAGAGACGTCGCCGGAATCATGGGCAAGTTTGCGTTCCCAGGCCGCAAGAAGCAGCCTCCAAAGGTGACCGTTACCGCACCGCCCATGAGCAAAGCTCAAAAGATTCTCGGATCGACTGCTCTCAACATCGACGCTCCTCAGCAATGGGACAACTTCTCCAGTTCAAAGGTCAACCTGGCGGCACCTGGTGCTCCTGAGACATCTCAGACACAGCTTAGCCACAGCCATGGTCATGGCTCTCCTGTGAGACATGATCGTGGAATGCGGGAATGGGGAGATGAGTCTGAGATCGTACCGCGGCAATTCAGAGTCAACGGAGCGCCTACCGATGAGTATGACGAGGATATGTCTGACATGACTAGCATTCTCCGGAAACGACAGTCTTCTTCGACGCTTCATTCTTGGTATGACAAGACCAAGCAGCCCCTCGCCATATCACAGCAGACGTCAGCTTCAGCTATGGCGAAAGGACTACCATCAAAAGCGGAAAGAATGCTGGATATGGAGAACTCTATCGCGGAGGCCAAGCTAAGGAAAAAGAAGCCTGCAAAACTGGATTTGTCTCATCTTATGGGGCGATCTCGAGGCAAGAAGACCGAGCCTCAGTGGGAGGGTCCGATGCTGGGCCAAGTTGTTCGATCACCATCTATCCTGTCACCAACAAGCACACCATCTCTACGAGGCAAGCTTTCAAGACGGCCCACGAAGGAGAGTCTAAGGTCGATGAACTCGGAAGAAGCCAATCGACCAAAGACAGGCGAGAGCAACAACCGCAGACAACACAACCACCTGAACGGGCTACCTAACCTCTACGAGCATTACGAGCAAATGTCTTTCCGCTCTATCGCCGACGATGAGCTGAATTTGCCGGATCCGGTAGAAAAGACCGTCAAGAAGTCTAAATCCAAAGACTTGCTTCAACTCAAACCCACTGTTTCTCACCAGAGCAAGCATGAGCATCGGCCCATACCACCGGCTCATGACGAGCAAATCATTTCACAATACGCTAAACGCAATTTACCTCAAACACCCCAAGCTATCCTGGCCAGCAAACCTGGTCAATCTTCACCTACAGACTGCGCTGCTAGTGTTTCTAGTAGACACACCAGGACGTCCAAGGCTTCGAAGCGCACCAGTAGGAGTTTCCAAGAGTCGGATCTTCAGGAAAAGAGTGTTCTATCGCTCTCTTCTGACTCTGAAGATGATGTTTACATCGAGTCGTCTTCAAAGGGCCCTGCATCGATCCCAGAGTATGCGACATCGGACGCTGGATCTTCTATCGACTTCCGCCCAAGCACCGCTCGAACTAGCTCAAGTGCCGATAACAGCTCAAAGCGGCTCAGCAGATCGAGCAAGCGAACATCAAACTCTAACAATTATCTGACCATCCCCAATGGCCACCATCGAAATCCTATCGTGGCTCCGCGAACCAGTTCCCTTTCTGGAAGCTCGACGAACACGATCCAGGAGGGCACCGCTGGACAATCACCATCACAAAGCTTGTCTAGTTCATCAGCAAATACATCGAATACATGGCAAAGCAAGCCAAGCTTCAACTCCCAAGAACTTAAGGTTGTCGCCTTGTATCCCGACCAAGGACGTTCGGATTCTACTGATTCCGAGCAAGATAAGGAAGTCGATTCTGAGAATGATCCCGAACCAGAGCTCGACTTTCTTCCTGCGATGAGATACGTTCCCCACGAATCTATCTCTCCCAACACCGATGCGCCCACGCCTCCTCTGAGTCCAAGCTCCGTCGACTTCTATATTCGCTCTGCGCACTCTTCTATCGATGGCAAGGGAAGCCATAACCGTTTCATGGCTGTTACTCGCCAGGAAGAGATGCTTCTGGCCGCGCTCCGCCACAAGCGACAGATCATGCGCGGCTCTATCCTCTCCGAGATGGAAGAGAACAGCCGAAACGAGAAGGCTAATCATAAGGGCCACCAGTCGAAGCCCTCCGAGGCCACCATCACCGAAGAGACCTTTGACCTCGACTTGGATTTCCCGGCTCCTCCTACCTTTAAGGATAAGACAACTGTTGCTGCTGATGGCACCACGGTTATCGACTTGAGCCACCAAAATTGGTCTGGCAAATCTGAAGCCACCACTTCTACTCACCACTCTAATAAAAAGGTCCATGAGCCTAAGCCTCGTAACAATGATCGCCACCAGCACGAGCGTATCCTTCTTTATATCGACAAGGGTCTTGCCGCGGAGCACTCCATCGATGATGCCGAGCCCAGCCCTGATCTGAGCGACTTCTACGACTACGAGTTCGAAGACGAATCTGAGGGTTCAGAGGTTGTCCCTGAGGTTGCCATGTACACCCAGCAGCGTCGCCACAGCGATCGAAAGGAGCGTCAGTCAGTTGTCAAGCGCCAAACGAGCCGATCGCGTCAACGAAGCCCTCAGCCTCACAGCGAGAATCTCGAGGTTGGCGTTCCCCGACCCGACAGCCCCATCTCCCCTGATGCTCTTTCGACCGTGGCTCCTCGAGTCAACAAGAAGATGGCCCGCCTGAGTGCTGTTGGACCCCCTGCGAAATGGGGGTTTGAGGACTAAACAGCATACCATGTCACACTTATCATCTGCGATTTACGATACGTTTCACCAACGTTCACATTTCATTTATACATATTTTTAAAACAGCATTCTTGGGATTGGAGTATTTTATTTCTTGGATACCTCGGTCACTTTGATGATCACGCACATCAAACATTTTCCTTTGTCGGCGATGATTACCTGCGATTTACTCGTTTATTTTCCCTGGAGTACTTCAGCTAAAGCGGCGTACTGGGGATATCTAAGGCCCCTTTGTCATGAAAGTGGAACGGAGAAATTTCCCTCAACGACTATGCCCCAACTCTCTCAGGATATCTCGAAACGTCTAGCCTTGTACCATCTCTACGAAAATCGACTTTGCTTTGAGTCATCGGGTCTGGGATTGGTCTTGAGGACAGGCGCAAGAGCGGGTAGCAAATTTTGTTCTTTGACGAACGTGACGAAAAGCCAATAGGAATTGGAGGATACTGGGACTGTAATGTGATGAAGACGGAAGGGAAGGGAGAGGCATTCTGCAGCTTTGTATATCATATTGTAGTTCGCGATTGTTATAATCGCTTATATTCTCGAACAACAGCGGAGTATGGCCTGTTGGCTTCTTTCTTACTCCATCTTAAAAGACTTTGTTGATCTTCATGTTCGATTCATTGATTTGTCGTATGGGTTTTATCTTGACATAAAGGCGTGTAGAGGTGTTCGTGACTTAGAAGTAGGTAGACCCCTCAGGAGGCTGGGCGATCTTCTTATTCTGGGACGAGGCCATGTATCTGCGGGGTGTTAACATAATGTCGCTTTTCTTGCTAAAATATGACGCTGGCTTACCGTCGCAGCTCTATGAGCACAGTCTCCATGGTATTCTCGCGCTTCCACTGGGCAAGGCAGGGGAGTTGGTTAGGGTCGACGATGCCGTTGGTGGGGTTGACACAGGGCAAGTTGACCTGGCTGATGAACTGGATCGAGGGAGGCTTGTCAGGGTACTCGGGACCGCAGTGCATCTTGACACTGTAGATGCGGTTCTCGTGGACGGACTGAACCAGGATATGTTAGCGATGATCTTCGCGAATCTATGGTAATCTCGATTGCTTCTATATACTAGAGCGGGGCACGTACATGAGGAGGTCCAAGAATTGTGCCGTTCCACTTGCTCATGAGAAGATCCTCAGGATCCTCAAGACCGTAACTGCATGCTTCAGCGCCGAGACCCTTCTCTCCCTTCTCGAGCTCCTCCAGTAGGCGAAAGTTGCGAGGAACCTTGGCAGACATCGTGTTCGATTACTGAAAGAGAAGCTAGTTGGGTAGCGATTATTGTCGGTCAAATTCTGTGGTATTTTCGGTATCGGAGGTCAAAATTCGTGGATGAGTAAGAAACGAGGTTCGCGATAGATGACGTTGGTGTAGTGACGATTGATATTGGGTGACTCTGGTTTGGTCTGGGTTGGTTTGGCGGGATCCAGTCACAGTCACAGTCGCGGGGCAAACAAGCAGAAAGGAAGGCGGTGAATTGTCTGGATAAGAGCAAGCAAGAGTTCCCCGCCAACACCTCTTTCGATAGTGAGGCACAGCCACAGAAAGCCGAGGCAGGCAGCTTGTCACTAGCCACCCGCGTCACATCGAGCTTGCCTGGTCGAGCGGGCAAACGTCGGAATAAGGAATCCAAAGGAAGCTCTGAGCTCATCCGACCATAGACAGAGTGTTTTTCCCACTGGCCCGGAGGAGAGGACGTCATTCTGGAATCGTGACTTTCAACAGACTCGAACTCTCTATATCATGGCCATGTCCCTTGCGCGGACTGCCCTCAGGGCGCCGCAATCGCGTCTCATTACAGCTGCCGCCGCCATCACAGCTCGATCTATCGCCGCGCACCGGTCCTTCAGCACCACAAACCATGCTCTACTCCCCTCCGGCTTCGGATCTCCCGTCCTGCCTTCATACTTCTCGAAGCCCCGGCTGCCGGCCAATACGGTAGTCCGGTTTGTGCCTCAGCAGACGGCTTGGATCGTTGAGCGCATGGGAAAGTTTAACCGTATCCTAGACCCCGGTCTGGCTATCCTCGTGCCTTTTATCGATCGAATCGCATACGTCAAAAGCCTCAAGGAAGTTGCCATTGAGATACCCAGCCAAAGTGCCATCACTGCAGACAACGTTACTCTAGAGCTTGACGGTGTTTTGTTCACCCGAGTCTTTGATGCGTATAAAGCAAGGTGAGTTATCCAACTGTAAAGAGCAATTGAGTTCGTGATGGACATGTGACTGACCCAAAACTTGTATTACAATAGCTATGGAGTTGAAGATGCCGAATATGCCATCTCTCAGCTTGCCCAGACGACCATGCGATCCGAGATTGGTCAATTGACCCTCGACCACGTCCTCAAGGAACGTGCTGCCCTCAACACCAACATCACCGCTGCTATCAACGATGCTGCCGAAGCTTGGGGTGTGACCTGCTTACGTTACGAGATTCGAGATATCCATGCTCCTGGCGCCGTTGTCGAGGCCATGCACCGACAGGTCACTGCCGAGCGTTCCAAGCGTGCTGAGATTCTCGAGTCCGAGGGTCAGCGACAAAGTGCCATCAACATCGCTGAGGGTAAGAAGCAGAGTGTCATTCTTGCTTCCGAGGCTTTGCGCGCCGAGCGAATCAACGAGGCCGATGGTGAAGCCGAAGCCATCCGTCTCAAGGCTACTGCCACTGCTCAAGGTATCGATGCTGTCTCTGAGAGTATCCTGAAGGGTGATGCTGGTGCCCAGGCTGCCGTCAGCCTGAGAGTTGCTGAGAAGTACGTCGATGCCTTTGGCAAGTTGGCTCGTGAGAGCACAGCTGTTGTTGTTCCCGGAAATGTTGGAGATATCAGCGGCATGATTGCCACTGGACTGAGTGTTTTCGGCAAGGTTGGCCAGGCCCAGGCCCAAACGATGGCCAAGTCCCTTGTCGAGCCCAAGAAGGAAGGCTCGGAGACCGAGACTGATACACCCTCAGAGCTTGATGGCCAGACGAAGCCCGGCGTCAAGGAGACAGTGATCGAGAGCTTCAACCAGGCTGCCAAGCGATAGGGATAAAATACTAAAATAGCCTATGGCACATTACGGAAACGAGATGAAACCACCCTTATATCAACTCATCACTCAACCACCATATGAAAATTCCACACTACCATGACTACCGGCGTTCAGCGGATGTATTATAGGGATCTTTGGAGGATCCGAGACGGCCTTGCTCACAGAGCTGGGGGATAACGGAGAGAAACGGCATCATGTAACATCAAATTTTCTTTATTCACAATTTAAGCGTACGGCAAAAGGAGGGAAAATCACGGCTCACCAGTCTACCCACTTCTTCAAGCATATAAATAGCCAGCTGTTGAAGTAGGGGGGCACAGAATCGAATTATTTTGACTTTTACTATGTATCCCCCCACGGTAACCTGGCATTCCCTGTTGTCTCTGGGAGTTCCGGGTTGTGTCTGTTGTTTAAGGAGTAGTGAAGTAATGAAGACGAGTATCACAAGGACGAAGCATGGCTCATTGATTGATTCAGGGGTATATTGATTCGAAACTAAGGTATGTACCAAGAATATTTCCATGCCCATGCAAACATCATTCATTATTTCCAGCTCCTGCATCGCTTCAAAAGCTCAAGGCCATAATGCCAGTTCAGCTTGTCCATGTCTCCAGGATAACCGTAACATCTGGAGTACATCGAGTTACTCGAGTGACAACTCAAAGGAAAAGAGGAACCATGGCGACGAGACCCATGAAGAAGCTAGGCACCAAGATAGAGCCACTGTTGCTTCCTCCATTGTCGCTGCTACTGCTACTGCCGCTGTCTCCATCATCATCGCCACCAGATCTGAGGCCGGTAGGTTCCGCAGTCGAAGAGAATGTAGAGAACTTGTTATCGTCGATCGTAGGGACAGGCTCGATCGAAGGGGCCGTGAATGAGGGAGAGTCGAATGTAAGTGTTGGGGACTCTCGAGTGAAGCTGGACTTGTCATCATCATCGTCGGAGCCGCCACTTGAGCCACCACCACTGCTACCTCCGCTTGAGCGATAGCCGCAAGTACCGTCGCTTCTACAGATTTGTCCAGAGAGACAGTATCCTGTGTCACAGCAGACCATTCCCTTAGGCATGCAGCCATCACCGCACTTCTCTTGGTAAGTCGCGCAGCTACTACCAGACGAGCCGCCAGAGGAACCCCCTGAACTGCCACCAGAGCCAGAGCCATAGTTGCAGGTTCCACCGGAGCCGCAGGTCTGGCCACGGAGACAGTAGCCAGTATTACAGCAGACCATGCCCTTGGGCATGCAACCATCACCACAGGTCTCCTGAAAGCTCAAGCATGAACCACCGGAAGAACCACCGGAGGAACCACCAGAAGAGCCACCACTTCCGCCGCTGGTACACTCGCCCTTGGTGACACAGTACGCACCGCAGAGCTCCTTGCCCGGTGTACAACCAGTCGGGGGGCCAGAGCATAGCTTTCCGTCCTCACAGCAGCCTTCAGCTTGACAATGATAGCCATCATCACAGTAGGCTCCTGTTCCCTTGTTACAGCACTCAGCGCCTGCGTCCATGCAGCCGCTATCGCACGATGTCTTGCCAGCGGGACAAGAACCAGCCATGCTGAGAGTCTGAGGACGAGGAGTGAAGCCAGAGAGAAGGGGAAGGCCCTTTGGATGTGCTGCTTTAGAGTTGCTGAAGTGGACGGTATCAGCCGCGAAGGTCAAGCCCGCGAGGGCGAGGAGAAGGGTTGATCGCAGCATGTTTGAAAGACTATATAAGAGGGTTTGATCCACCGAAAACGATTGGGCTGAGAGAATTCTGACGGGTGAAGCAGACAGGTCAAGCTGAACAGGAGGTTTTCTCATCTTATAAGAGCACTGGTATTAACAGGCTGCTACTTACGGGAACGGCTGAAAGCCAGCCGTCGAGTCACAGACCAGTTAGATTCAACTAGCTGGGTATCTTAATATGCTAATGCATCAAATGTACGCCACCAAATATCTCCAGGGTCAAAGGTGGAAGCTCCATCTTGACGATGGCTTCGTGCGGGTACCATATCCGTCTGTGCTAGAGGCACGACCATCCACCAATACAAATTGCAGCAGGTCGCCACAATACCTTGCTAAACTATAGGCAGCTGTGACTTCTCTGTAATGTGTCTTCCACCGTCTGTGACTAATACCGAGCTCCTTTGCTCTGAGTTGAAGATCTCCATTGAGACGAGTTCCCATATCCAGTTACCAAAATAGGGCATGAGTGCGAGTGTCAGACCGGCCCAACCACATTCCGAATAAGACTATCCTCAAATTCTGCCCGATCATCATGCACCGTCCATGAACCAAACAATTTAGCAGTGTTACTCTCTATAAGTTGGTGGGGACTGGGGTTCAGCTGCTCGGGATCCCTGCATCGATCCTAGATAGCCTGCCCTGGCCCAAGAGATGAGCAGACGAGGAGGGAAGTCGGAAGATGATCTTTTTCACAAAGATCGGTCACAAGGCCATGAACCCAGGTCTAGTCTCGTACCTCACATTTGGCCCATTACACAACTTGCATAGTTGGACTGCAGTGTAACGCTGTGACTGCAAGGCTGGTTGCATGCAGTGGATGAGTTGTAGGTTGAGTCGACCAAACAGATGGAAAAAGGCTGAAGGTGAAACAGCCGCTGAACAAAGTTAAGATTAGGCTTCTGTCTTGTTTGCCCTGCAAGGCCGGGGGTTCCAAATTTACCGTCCAACGATACTGAGCCGTTGACGCACTAATGCTCTGCCCTATGAGACTCATCTCGTGTCGGCCGCTTGCACTAACTAGAGCAATTAATGTTCCGTCCCATCCTATATCACCAGTGACATCCATCGACTCTTCTGCTGTCCCGAATTTAGATCACCGACAGAGTTCACCCTAGGCAGAAAGGGACGGAAGCTCAGCGTGCAAGGCTGATTGATCCATCACACTCTCTGTTGGATATCGGTGAAGGCCTCAATCGGTGACAGGTGACTTATGCGAAAATTGCCGCAAAACTCGGAGCTTGTTCCCTGATACAGGGTCTTTAATTCTGCAGCTAAAATGTTCCACATGGTCCAGATGTTTTGAGCATTGAGCGGTGGAGGTGGCGCTGGTGGCACCGAGAATATGCTAACCAATTCACGGCTCCCTCATTGAACAGATTCTCTTTGGGAAGTGGTGTTGATGATCCTCGAATTTCGTATCCTTGCACTATCAATAAGGATTATGCCTCGTCACGCTAATGCTGCCAAAGGAGTGGTGATTCGATAACCTTGCGATGATGGAGAAGTTGGCCTGACGAGAGGGTGTCATAAGGAGGAGCATGGCTTTAGAGAGCGACTAGTATTGATAAATATCAATCAGAAATGTTAGAGGAACCTGCGAATATGCTATCTTTAGCAACAACCTTTCTTGCATCTTGCACATGTGACAACCCTCCCTTCAGCAGATACCTCACACGGACACTCGAATATCCTTCTTGATCAAAGTACCAACAATCTCCTCGCATGCAAAGGAAACCTGCAGTTTCTCATCACGCTTTGCGCCCAACCCAATAATCATCTCTTTCTTATCAACCAGCTTTTTCGCACTTCCTCGCCAGAACCAAACAAGTCGTCCGTCATCTCCTTGAACGAGTAATGTGAGCCAGGGTGTGCGGCCCTTCCAGTGAGGTAACTTCTCATTGTCGAATCCGAGGACAGCTCGAGCAATCCAAAGAGTTTGACTGGGGTTTGCCGTGTCTACTGCAGGCCGGTTGTCTTCATGTGGAGCTGCTGACTTTGGGTTGGCAGTCGCGTCGGGAATGTAAGGACCAATAATCTCAAGATCGAGTGTGAGACGAGGAAATCCAGCAACTTTGTGGAGGATAGTCTGACCGAAAGGTGGGTTTCGACTAAGAATGCGTTCTATGTTGTAGAATTCAACCTTGGATAACTGTTTTATGTTCTTAATATTAGCTTTGACGAGCTTGTCCTTTTTCGCCTGGCCGATGCCCTCGATTTGGAGGAGTTGACTGTCGCTTCCCTCCCAAACTCCAGCCTTGACACACCTCAGCACCTCAAGAGCAACGTAGACTCCCTTTCCATCGCCTCGTTCCCCAAGGATGTCGGCGAGGCACCTCAGCACATGGTCCAGGAGTTTGTACATACGGGAGAGTTCTTTCGTCAGCTCTTTGCGAGAAGGCCCCGATAGTTTGTTGGGCCAGCCAGTCTTGAGTAGATCAATTTGAACCAAGAGATAAACTTTGTGCCATGGTTGGGAGATGAATTCCTTGACTTGATAGGGGATACCGGTGTTGTCGTTGATTGCTCTGAAGAAGGCGGTCTCCTCCTTTTTCATTGGGAACGACTTGAACTCGGTGGCAGAGCATGCATTCCTCAAAATATCACGAGCATCTGGCTTGCTTTTGATTTTGCAAAGGATCTTGAAGGTCGAGGTGGAAATCTCGTAACGCTTTTGGATTTCTTTTGAAGTTTCTGAAGCCAGAGTCTGCGGGCTTGATGCCGCCTGTTGTGCTTCTGCCATGATGGATAGAATTGCAGTTGGTTTGTTTCCCGAATTTTTCTTTCTTTTAAAGCAGCAGAAGAAATTTGAGGATCTTGGAAGACATGGGGCCTTCCATTTTGTCATTCAAGGGCGCTTCCTGCTTGCTTTGGCTCATCGTTGGAGAGTGTGGAAACTGCACCTTCCTTCGAGGGTCAGTCGATGACAACAGGGAAGGTAGGTGCCTGGCACACTCGGCCGCTATGGCATACCTAAATTTGGTAAGGTAGTTTCGAAGCCGTAATTGAAAGAGAGAGATGCTGACACCTTGATAAGAAGAGCATTGGCTCTCGGGTGTCGATACATCGATGCTATCTTGTTTTAGGTGGAATCTAGGTAATGAGCGGCAAACAAAGGGGGCCAGTAACAAAGTAAGAGAAGGGCAAGGAAGGAGTCTACTAGGTATTCTCTTCTATCGATAGACATTTCTTCCAAGTAAATTTGGTTATGGTCAGGAGTGACAGGCCTTTAATCTTGTTGTGAGGCCATTCAACATCACTCAGAGCTGACTGAATGGCAGCCTCTTGGAAGCAACGACATTCTTTTTGGTCGCACATTTATACCAACATATTCGACAGCCTTTCAGTAGCAGTCCAAGGTAACGAGATCGGGTAAAAGTAAAGAAAAGGTTTCTTGTTAATGAATATGACTCTATGTCCGGAAATGCCTTTTGCTGGTGGTTCAATTCCGTCTCAGTGGAGACCTCGATTCAGCTGAAAGTTGATGAGGGGTCATTCATTTGTCGGCGAAGACTCATCTTCATCCAAGGTAGCTCTGCAAGTATATTATTATAGCACGACACATTTCACTCTGATTTGCTTCATATCTTCCACCGAGTCTAGAGAACAAAGCAATAATGTTATCTTAAAAGCTCTAACTTGTACTGCAAACCATCATAATGTCATCGCGCCCACAATTCTTTCATCTTCCCAACTCTGCATCATGTCGTATACTCGACCGCTTCAGTGACCTTCCCGACGATGCGGAAGTCGAAGAAGATGAGAATGGCAAAATACCATTTTGGCCGCTCTTGAAGCACCTTCTCTGCACGCCTGTGTCAAGTATCGCGCAGCTGAATGATCGGCTACAAACAATTGCTGCCAACGCAGAGACATGTCATGATAGTGACTATGGCTTTCTGAAAAGATTTCTTGAGGGGCGAGGCGAAGCTGATACACTTAATACGGTATGGCCAAAGATTCGCGATGTTGCACTCGCTTTGCCTACCTACTTTCCTGATGGAAAGCTTGAGCTGCTTCAGCCGGGACATCCACTTCATCTAAGTCGTGGTCAAGTTGCTTGTCTTGTGGCACATCAATTCCTCTGCTCATTCACACCTCAAAGGGACGACGACGGATATCAAGATCTGGGCATATGGTTCTCATTCGAGCAACGGCATCTTACCGCAGTACATATGTACTTGGAAGCTTTGTTTACATACTTTGAGAGTATACCCGAAGCAATTGCTCTTCTGGAAGACCATCAAGTTGCGCCCAAAATGGCTCGTGGTTCTGTCTCATACGAACTTCATCTAGGAAAGCCAGTCTCACTAGAGACTGCGAAGTTAGCAAAGCTACAGGTGAACTTACTGGACGCTCACACATCAAACACACATAATCCAGAAGTTCAAGGTGAAGGAGGAGCAGCTGTCGTATCATCTAACAAGGTCATTGGGTTTGGTCAATCCGCCACACAAGAAGAGATCTTTGTCGGAATTGCTCCTGAAGCTTATCCCGTTGTCCTGGTTGCGCCTCATCTCACAGACGACACAGTCATCACTGTTTCTGGAGCGAGAGCGATGGTTGATATGAAAGGTCAAAGACGTAATATTGAATGGACGATACGTCCCACGCCGCCTTCAGGAGACTTCGGAGAATGGAGGAAATCATGGAGGGGAGGACGTCTTGTCTTCATGGACGCTTTGGAGATGGACATGCTTGAACACTCGGAAGACACTGGGTTACCCGACTTATCTCATGAGAACATTGATCGCGAACTCAACAAAGCAGCAAATGGATTTTCATCCTACAAAGGAAATTCCGTCTTCACTGGGCTCTGGGGCTGTGGCGCCTTCGGAGGTGACCCAGGGGTGAAGCTCCTGATATTATGGCTCGCAGCAGGGGCAGCAGATGTTGAGCTGAATCTAATGCTTGGACCCGGAGAACATGACCTGGGAAGGAAACTGGAAGAGGTAGTCAGGGCTTGCCAAGATTTGACCGCAACTGACGTGCGTGAGCTGCTATCAAGAGTTCCTCGAGACTTGAGAGGTGGAGGAATTTTGGGATGGGTTGCGAACGAGGCTTCAGGGGCTCAGCATGACACATATTAAGGGTCAGGAATCATGACCTTGCCAACCAACTCTTAGAAAGAATACTCCGTAAGCTCATTAAATTTAAAAATCAGGACCGAACTGAACCCCTTGGTGGACTATTACCTGAAGCACTTGAGGAGTAAGTGGACCTTGAACCCGCGTATAATCCCAGTTGCTGTACAGATCCCGAGTATATCGGTTTTTGTGAGAAGTCCGGAATATTCTTGGCTTTTTGGACACTCCTGTTGCTATAATCGTATGTTGTTGAGGTCAAAGAAGAAGAAGAAGAAGAAAACCCATGAGTATGCAAATGGTGTCTATCAGGAAAATACTTTATGACGAGAGGACCGTGGGATGGTCTAAGTATAACCTTAAAATATGAATCATAGGCCCCATGCAGAAAGCTTCCTTCACTGAGTGCGAGACCAGATTCTAATTTAGGTATGCGTAAACCTTTTTATCGAATTTAGTAGTTGTACTCTATATCTCAGTGACTGTTTCTTACTGTCTCCTACATTGAGTGATCACTTTGGACTACGGTTTGATAGACAATACACATATTAAATTCAGACGGCAAGATGTGATAAGTAATCTATTGATTATTTATGTTCCTTCAAAAAGTATATACATCGTAAACGAAGCTCTTCATTTCACCAACGATGCGCTGGCGAAGAAGCCCAGACAATGCGCATCACCGCTTACAGCTTAAGAGTGGCACCAGCAACACCAACAACAGCCGACTTGACCTTGGAGGAGCCGACAAGTGAGTACTGGTAGGGGATGTTGGACTTGGAGATGGAGCCCTTGGGAGCATCGTTGGTGGAAACGCCCAGGTTGACATCGTTGACAGAGATGGTACCAGTCTCCTTGGAGTCCTTGGAGGTGAGAGCCTTCTTGGCGCTAGAGAAGGTGGTAGACTCAACAAGAACCTGGGCACCCATGCGGGAGTTGACACCAGTCACGCTGATATCCTCGTAGTAGTTGTTGAAGACGTGGACGAAACCGAAGCGGACAGAGGGAGCGCGGGATCCAATGCTGGACCAGTGGTTGTTGGCGTAGGTGACGTGGAGAGTACCCTTGTCCTCGGAACCGTTGCTGTCGGAGTGGCCGACGAGAGAGGCCTTGTGGTGGTCGTGGAAGTGGGTGTTGGACACGGTGACGAAGTCGGAGGCGTGGGTGACATCGAGGAGACCGTCGTAGAAGTCCTTGTCCTTGGACAAGTCAGAGGACAGCTCACAGTGGTCGACCCAGACGTTGGTGGACTTCTGGATACCGATGGCATCACCGTTATCTGCAACAACGTTCTTGATCTTGAGGTTGCGAACAATGACGTTCTTCTGCTTGTTGATGTAAAGACCAATGTTGTCAAGAGAAGCACCAGCAGCACCGACGATGGTCTTGTTAGACTTGACGCGGATCTTGTTGTTTCCAGAGATCTGACCCTTGACGTAGATGACCTGCTTGCCCTCCGACTCAGCAGCCTTGCTGAACTCGGCGAGAGAAGAGACAGTCACGGTAGCACCACCAGCACCACCGGTAGTACCGCCGTTCTGGGTAGCGTAACCAATGTTGGCAGCATCGGTGATGGCAGCTCGCTTCCCAAGAGTCTTTCCGGCCTCCTGGAAGGTAGGAGTAGGGACGGCGCTGACCAGAGCAGCGAGGTTGAGAAGACCGAGGAACTTCATGTTGACGATTTTAAGTGTATATATCAAGGAATTGTGTGAAAAATAAAGAGTGGAAGTCGGAACCAGTCCAGACAGTAACGATTGAAAAAGAGTTGGAAAAGAGTAGTGAAGGATGAAGGACAGAAGAGGAGGAGAGTTGGTGGCCACGGCGAGGTTCTTATATATGAAGCCATCGCGAGATGTCGTGCTCAGTCGTCCTGATTATCGAACACTGTACCCCCTGATGCGGTGATGATCAATTGCCGTCGACAACATTGAACAAGATGGTTGTTCCAAGGGTTTGAAACGTCTTTACACGAATAGGATAATTCTCCGGATTTGAAACGGGAGGTGGGCCAACAATCCGGAGCAGAAGTGGATCCTCAATGCCGGACCATGCCATCGGCGCTCGGCCGGTATCGGTAACGCGCCCAGTTAAACAGTTTCAGGTCTGATATTTTGGGAGGTCAATAGAGAAGAGAAATCACCACATACAGAACTCGGATACAGATATAGAGTCTCCGGATCGACAATAATCACGTCTGATCATCTCGAATACTCGGTCAGCAATACCCCGAGCCCAATATGACGACGTCTCGTCAGAGGATACGATGCAACATGTATCCTTTAATTCGCCCACCACGGAAACGCGGCCTCATACTTCTTGGCAGCCGAGATACACTGAAGCTTGAATTAATCTTAACTAGCCTTGGCTCTAACTTAAGCATCGTTGGAATAAGCTTAAAGATATGTCTACATATGACAAACGACGAGTGACATGCTTCATCAAGTATATCTCAGGAAGGCTACCTATCTACGGAGTAATGAAAGGAGAATTGATTTATCTATGCTAGCACATTCAAGAAAGCTTTGCAGACATAATTTTGTTTGTATCGTCAAGTGGGTGACACTTACGAGAGCGCGTATGATTGAAACAATTCGAAACAGCCCAGTTGTTCAGCCTTTCATCTCATCAATCTCGGACCACGCATTCACCATTCTCCCACCAATAATTGCGACCTTGTCGACCTGGGGTTGAGTGGAGCTGTCATGGAAGGAAAATGGTAAGGCTAAAAGCGCCTAGGGGAGCAAATAAAACCCTAGACTTCGATCCTAGATGATGAAAAGACTTAGGTAACTTGGCATAAGCGTATGGAACTCTTGACCGAGTTTATTTGAGCGCCCTCTATTAAAGTCTTATGTTTTCTTGCTCCTCGATGGCACTGTGCTGCTGTTTCATGGTTCTGCACCAAGTCTCTGCGGGACCACCCGGGGTGAGAAAACACAAGACTAGGTTTGGTGTAAGTCAGACAGTCGGGGAGAGGCAAGAAAACTTAGGCCCTCTACGGAGTATCCTAAAGGGAAATATGATTGAGTCAACTCTGATAAGGCTTAGGGAAGTTTAGTATATTCTAGGTTCTGTTCATACTAAAGTTGTAGGGTGTTTTCTAACTTAGGTTTGCCTAACTAATCAAAGGATACTGCACCAACCTCCACTTGAATCAGTACCGACGCCGCTCTCAAGAACACCGACATCCAGCCAAGCCTTCTTGACTTTTTTCGCATCAGCCGACCCGTACAGCTCTTGCGCACAGTCTACTGTGGCAGTTGCAAATTGCTTGAACGTAGACTTGGGAGGGATTTTGCCCGACCTCAAAGCTGCCCACCAAATCTTGCCAGCCTTTTCCTAAGAGTATCCGCCGAACGAGGCAGAAGCTAGATAGAATGCTTTGTTGGGAATCCCGGAATATATGTGAACTCCGCCGTTATCCTCGTATGTTGTCCTGAATTGCTTCATATGCCCAACCTGCGGATCTTTGCCAAAAACCGGATCGTCGTAGGCAGTTCCAGGCTCCTTCATGCTTCGCAGAGCAGTGCCCTTGACTCCAGGAAGAATGCAGTCTTCGCCGATTAACCAGTCTGCAACGTCCGATTTCTCGTCCTGAACTCTTTGCTTCACCATGATGCCGAACGCATCCGAGACATGCTCGTTCAGAGCACCGGCCTGACCATAGTAGTCAAGAGGACTTGTGTGCTCTGTAACTGCGTGTGTAAGCTCATGGCCGATGACATCGATGCATCCGGTAAAGTTGTTGAGAAACTCGCCGCCGTCGCCGAAGACCATCTGCAGCTTTTCTGGGTCCCAGACTAGAGAGGGAGGTATGGTTAGTAGAAGCCAAGTAAGCTCACTGCAATTACCACTCACAAGCATTTTCGTATTGTTTGCCAAAGTGAACAGTACTGATGACGTCCATATCCTTGTTGTCGATTGACAGCCATTGGAAGAACTTTTTGTAGAAACCCAACACGAGTCCGACGTTGTCGAAGGCCTCATTGACAGCCTTATCAGAAGATGGTTTGCTTGTGTCGACTTCCTTCTTCCCGTTGTCGCGAATGAGGTCGCCAGGAAGCTTACCCTCGTTTGAACTCTCGTGTATGTCATGCACAGCACGGTAGGGAGGGTCGTCCGTAGCAGTTAGCGATTGGACAACATGTGAGGACCCGGGTTCTGTGGACTGCGAGGAGCCCAGCGCCTGCTGTGCCCCTCTGACTTTTCCGATGATAGTTTCAAGATGATCGAGGCCCTTTTGGGCTCTTGAACGCTGTGCATCGTCGGCTTGATCTGAAGCGATGACATTTCGAAAGAGTGCAGGAGGAACGATCTGCTGCTGGACTTGGTTGTACGACTTCAAATACTGCTCCCGGCGCTCCTGGATGCTTTTCAAGAACTGCTCTGTGTGTGCAAGGGATGCTAGTGCTATCTCTCGGTGCTCGGGGGTCGCTGCTTTGCTCTTCGAGATAGCTCGGAGGAGATGGGGAGGTACAGCAACCATGATGAATATTGAATATGAATAATTATATGAAATCTAGACTGTGATGTGATATGGTGGTTCGAAAGAGAGAAGAGAGAGATCAGACGGGGAGATCCAACATAAGGTGCCTGCAGAGGTCGGGATGTGGCTTCCACAATAATCGATGGATGTTATCAGGAAGGCATGCCTCAATGAGAAAGATCCTCAAACTTGAGACTGCCTTACCAAAGACGCTCAAAATTCTAGGTGAGTTTTGTCAAGTTCAACCGATGCGACGGAGGTGCGGGATTCAGAACAGGAGCAAGAGGAGAACAATAAACAGGATATTGCCGTGGTAAAGTCCCTAACTCGCCAATTCTTTCCGTCGTACTTCCACTTGACGCTTTAGTCACTACCTTATTTTATGCTGATAAAATCAAGTAGTCGATGGTGAGGAATAATCATGACTTCCTATACAGTTGGTTAATGCTTATATCTGGGCAAGGGGGCAGGGGGAGGAAAGAAAAGTCAAGACCTTGATCCTGGATGATAAGAAGACTTGGGATGCCTTTTCCATGTTTAAAACACCTTTGTTGAGTTTACTTGACATCATATATCAAGGTCTAATGTTTTCTTGCTCCCCGAGGGGGGATTCAGGAGACATCCAGAGATGGGCATCAAACTCTCCAGGCCATCGATCCGTTGCCTTGATGCCAACCTGTCTCTGGCACCCAAGTAGTCAATCTCCTGCACTGATCTCCAGTGACAGTCACCGTAAGAATAGATTAACTACTATTACCTGGAGTTGTATGCATCCTTGGTTCTTTGTTAGTCAGCTACTTACATGATGCCAGTGTCGGGAATGATAACTCTACAAGCTGGGACTGTTTTCGCGGGACCTTGACAAGTGGCAATGCCATTTACAGTTATTTAGGCTCCTGCTATGTGTTGATAGTATCGGAAGTCGAATTGGCAAGGAGTTTGTTGCTGAATGAAGTCATGGTTATCTTATATGTGCATAACATGTAGTTTGTTTATAACTAAGGTACAATACAACAATCTCAAGCTAGAGAATTCACAGAGGAGTACCAATCTAAAGCAAATAAGAGTCAAGTACATACTAGATACCACATCTAAGAAAAGTGAAATAAAAAAAAAGGCATGATTCGAACACATGACCTTCGCAGCAAAAAAGGTGAGATAATGGGCTAGCGAGTTTAGCTATGACTGGCTTGCCCTTCCCACCAGACCACTCATCTCTAGGATCCTGTCTCGAAAGTACTGTAGGTAATTACGCCTTATAAGGGGTTCAGCTCTTGATCTCTATGCCACCTTGAAAGAGAAAGTCTGGTGTTGCAAGTTTCGGGGTAAGTTGCAGGGATGCAGGGGAGTTTTTATACTGAATGGCGATAACCTTTGGGGTACCTGCATATCCGCTCCACCCACACACGGGGAATCCTTGCGCTTATCCCTTTTGTGATAAACCTTGAATCATGGATGCACAATCATTATAACTGTGCAGATTCACTTTCACACCTGAGCCATCGTGATGCAAGAAGCAAAGATCTAATGCAAATAAGTGAGACCCAATTGGAACCACTTCCACCAAAATATGCGGCTCAATCAAAGACAACAACAGCCATGTCTCACTCCCCTTCAGCCAGCCGCATTTCTGAGCACACCCTCACAGCCCAAACAATACTATTTTCTCAGCCAAGCACTCTAATTTCCCTCATGTTGACGATCGCAGATAAGCTCAAGATTACGCGTCCGCCAACTCCTCAACTTCAGCAGATCGATAGTCTTGGCTTTTGCTCTTTGACCATTGGCAATATCTTGGGTGTCGATACTCCCTTAATTGACTTTGACACCTCCTCTTTGTTACACGGCCCTTGCATATCACCCTTTATTCTGCATATGCACGTACAACCCTCCGATACAAACTGCCAACAGCTTGGCTGAATGCAGCCCAGGCTCACTCTCAATCTCGTGAGCGTCAAAGTACATCACCAAAAACAAGTCAAAAGTTTGTTTTCAGCAAAATATGCTGCTTCTATTCCATTCGAAAAACAGATTCTATCTGCAAAAGGTATCGTGCGTAAAAAGTGGCATCTAATAATATGCAATGCGTCATCCAATCCAATCCAAAGTAGTAATTCATCCAAGCCATGTCTGTCTTCCGCTGTCAATGTGTCATAGTCCATCTCTAGTTGAAGCCTTCGTACAAAA